CCCACACTTAACAACAAATCAACCGTCTCAATTCTCTGTGCATTCCTTATTGCTGCTCCTAGAACACAGTGCTTTGGAGACTTAGTAAAGAAAATGAATGCACTCTCCTGAATCACAGTATCACCTAGAAATGGAACCAGAAGATATAAAAAGTCAGGATAGTTTGTTAAATTGTGTGTGTGTGTGTGTGTGTGTGTAAATCAACAATTTATAAGGTTACCTCATCTCTGGGGTCAGCAAACTTTTTCTATAAAGGTCCAGAGAGAAAATTGGCTTCACAGACCATAAGGTCTATTTTTCAGCTCTGATGTTGTATTGTGAATGCGGCCAGAAAATACATAAATGAATGGATGTGGCTATATTCCAAGAGAAGTTTATTTACAAAAACGGGTGGTGGGCAGGATTTGTCCACAGGCAGTATTTTGCCAGCCCCTGCCTCACACCAATGTTTTATCTTTTTCAAATAAGAATCTACTTCCCTCATTGCACACGTATTTGAGTAAATATAGTAACACTGAAGGGACAAATAATGATTTCAGTACTGCCTTACAGAAATGAATATTCTCAAAATTAATCACTAACCTTTTCCTATAAGTCCTTCTCATATGAGCACATACATTTTTCAAAATATAAAACTGTAATCACCTTGAACCTAATATTTCAAAAAACAGTTACAATGAGTGTTATGTAGCTGCTATAAAAGGAAAAATGCAGTCTAGACAGTCAAATACAATGATCTTTTATTCATTATTCTCATAATCAACAGTGAGTAGAAAAGAGTGCTAAATACATGGTCATGAATCATAACTTCACTACTGAAAATGCAGAAGTAGACTTTGCATTTAAATAAGAACACAAATTTGTTTTTTGGATTACTTACCAAAATCCTTGATGGAAAATGATACAGCTTTGCCAAAATATTTTTAATTTAGAAAGTGAGACCAAAAACCTCTTTAGCATATCATGCATCTATTTAATTTTAAAATACAAATTTTAATGTTTCATTTGACAGCCTGGTGAGGTAGACATTATATTTTTAAGGCAGCCATTTTAATATAGTGAGAGCATGTGTGAATATGTATTGACATTCTAAGCCATTAAGGCCACTTGTTCACAGAATATATTTGAGCTCTAAAATTGTTGAAAGAGAAAATACTCAAGTAGCTTGCAGAAATAATGGATGTTATACAGAACAGAAAGGAATAAAATTAAACAACAAAAGTTCATAAGATTTCTTGACACCAAAAGCACAGTCCATAGAGGAAAAATTAAAACTGGACCTCATCCAAATTAAAGCCTTTTGCTCTGTGAAATTCCCTGTGAAGAGGTTGGAAAGACAAGCTACAGACTGGGAGAACATATTTTCAAACCACTACCTGACAAATGATTAGTATTAAGAATAAAAAGGCCAGGCGCAGTGGCTCACGCCTGTAATCCTAGCACTTTGGGAGGCCGAGGCGGGTGGATCACGAGGTCAGGAGATCGAGACTATCCTGGCTAACACGGTGAAACCCTGTCGCTACTAAAAAAAAAAAAAAATTGGCCAGGCGTGGTGGCGGGTGTCTGTAGTACCAGTTACTCGGGAGGCTGAGGCAGGAGAATGGCAAGAACTCGGGAGGTGGAGCTTGCAGTTAGCCGAGATCGCGCCACTGCACTCCAGCCTGGGCAACAGAGCGAGACTCCGTCTCAAAAAAAAAAAAAAAAAGAATAAAAAACTCTTAAAACTCACCAGGTTAAAAAAAAACCCAAATAGAAAATGGACAAAAGACATGAACCGACATTTCACTGAAGATACAGAGATGGCAAATAAACACATGGAAAGATGATCAACATCATTAGCCATCAGAAAAGTGCAAATTAAAACTAGGAGGATATATTACTACACACCTATAAAAATGGCTAAAATAAAAAATAGTAACACCACCAAATGCTGTCAAGGATGAGGAGCATTCACACATTCCTGGTGGGAATGTAAAATGGTACAGCCACTCTGGAAAATGGTTTGGCAGTTCCTTAGAAAATTAAACATGCAAGTGCTATACCACCCAAGAAGTACACTCTTGGGCATTTCAGAAACAGAAATTTATGTTCATACAAAATCCTGTAGACAACTGTTCATATGAGCTTTATTCAAAACAGGCAATAAATAAATAAATAAATAAATAAATAAGTAAAACAAACAAAAACCCTGGAAACCTCAGATGCCCTTCAACAGGTGACTGGTAAACAAACTGCAGTAAATCCATATTATGGAATACCACTCGGCAATGGAAAGGAACAAGCCATTGATAAAGGGTACATTCCTTGAACTAATCTCCAAGGAATTATGCTGAGTGAAGTAAAGCCAGTCTCCAAAGGTTATATACTATGTGATTTCATTTATATAAGCATTTTTGAAATGACAAAATTATGGACATGAAAAACAGATCAGTGGTTGCCAGGAGTCAGGGATGAAGAAGGGAGATGGCTACATCTATAAAAAGACAACAAAAAGGATCCTTGTGGTGATGCAATTGTTCTGTATCTTGACTGTGGTGGTGCTTATATGAATATACACGTGATAACATTATGTAGAATTAAATACACACATGCAAATGACTGCATTAAAGCTGACAAAATCTAAGTAAGGTTGATGGATTGTATCTATTTCCATTTTGTAGTTGTGATGTTACACTATACTTATGCACGAGATTACTATTGGGGGAAATTAGATAAAGCGTATTATTTCTTACAACTGTATGTGAATCTACAAGTATCTCAAAATAAAAAGTTAAAAGGGAAAGAGTATATAAGACCAGCCAATGGTAGAAGTGGAAAAACAAAGCTTTTACTTTTGCTAAAGGCTCAGCAATTGAAAGTGAAAGGATGGAGAAAAAGGTAATGTCAAAGAGTCTACAGGCTACAATAGAATCTTATCTTCCTTCCCTATGGAGCCTTAACTTCTCCAGAATTTTGTTTGTCCTTGATTTGACTGTTGTTCTTTTTAATAAAAATAAACTGCATGTACATCTGTCTCTCCACATGCCTCACAACCATCTCCATCAGCCCAAAGTATAAACTCATAGAATAGGGTTTGTCTTCTTAACCATCATGTACTGAGGGCCTGACATAAGTGACAGATGAAGGAAGAAGACAGTTGAATGAATTAATAAATGAATGAGATGCCCACATATTCTTTTAAAGTTCCTAGCCAATTACAGTTGTAAGGCAGTATATGAGTGCAGTGGCGCGATCTCGGGTCACTGCAAGCTCGGCCTCCTGGGTTCACGCCATTCTCCTGCCTCAGCTTCCCAAGTAGCTGGGACTACAGGCACCCACCACCACGCCCAGCTAATTTTTTGTATTTTTAGTAGAGACGGGGTTTCAGTGTTAGCCAGGATGGTCTCGATCTCCTGACCTCATGATCCACCTGCCTCGGCCTCCCAAAGTGCTGGGATTACAGGCGTGAGCCACCGCACCTAGCCATTCCCTTACAAATTTCTAAAAGCCATGGACGTTTAAAAAATAGTGCTGTATAACACACATTTCACTTGTAAGCAGAAATTAACGTAATACCCAACATTTGTAAAATGCTTCTGAGTTTACAGATTTTCACATATAATAATTTATTTAATCAGGATGAATTAAGAACTAAGTATACCTAAATTGAAACCACTATACACAAACCTTTGAGAAAAACATTCTACTCAACGGGTATAACAGGATTTATGACAGCCTTAATGCAAATGGCATTATATACGTGTGTGTATACATATATATTTGTCATATATATTCATTTTAAGAATATATCATTCAAATTGGGGGACTTGTGGATCATTTCAACAGCCATAAAGACACTTATTTTACAGACGCAAACACTAAGAGAGGTGAAGTGACTTGTTCAAGGTTATATATCTAACTAGAGCTGGGTCTAGAACCTGAGCCTCTTCAGAGTTCCAATTCATTTCTCTTGTCTTTGAATTGAACAAGACTCTTGTTTCTTCACCCATCTCACCCCTACCAAAAATACTGAAAGAAATATCTTAATCTAAATCACTTGTGTTTTTAAATAGGGGGTTTTCCAAAAAAAAAAAAACCCCACAAAACTGAATTTACTCAAGCTTTCAATTGCTGTATTACACCTTCCATGGATTTTTAGTTGTCAAATTATTTCTTATATCAGGACAATAAGGTACTTTATTCTAAGGTACAAGTATACTGACAGTTTAATGTTTCATTCCCCCACCTAAATGGCAGAGTGTTAATTCTAACAGGAATCTTACATGTCTTACACTTTAGCAGTTTCAATCAAAAGATGAGCTATTTTACAATTTAAGGAAGAGGCCTTACATTATTAAAATCTTGATTGATATGCTCAATGGCAGTACCATCATTGAATCTTCACCTGCTGTCTTATGTATCAAGAACATTTAAAAGTCTTTCTTGTTAGAGACAAAATAAAAGAAAAACTAAAGTGACAAGCAACTATGAGAAGTAAGGCTTTAATCAGGTTAAATTTGCATTACGCAGCCTGCATGAATTTAGAGGTCCTAGAATCAAAACACTAGAAGGAACCTTAGTTATGCTCTAGTTCAACAGACTGATTTTTGCAGAAGAGGAAACTGAAGCGCTGATGAGACCATTAACTAATAAAGCAAACCGCTTACTTTTTCAAAGGGATTCATTTCAATGCCATTTTACCCTTATTTTGCATCTCACTGTTGTTTCTCAGGGCGACGGTTGACCTTTTTTTTAGGTGAAAAGAGCTAATAGAGCAAATTAATTTCAAGAGGGTGAAAAATGCCTTTGAAGGAGGAGATGCTGGAGTGAAGAGGAGAAATGACGTCTTATTTAAAATATGTAACCCCTTGATGGGGTTAGACAATGAATCATATTCTCCTAGATTTTTCTATGTCTATAGACATCAGCCACAGTTCTTTCGGGCACTCAAACGAGAGGAAGAGGAAGTGAATAAAGCTCATACTAAATATATAGCACCCACTGAAGGCAGGGATGTAGACAGAAAGAACGGGGGTGGGGGAAGGAAGGAAAGCACGCGTCGCCAGGATCCAGCTGTTTTCTAACATACCTAATCCTACGGAAGCTAGGAAGATATTGGAAGCAAGGAAGATATCGGAAGCGAGGGCATCCCTCAAATTCGAGAGGGCGGATGCCTATGGCTAGAGAGACTCCCTGGCCCTCTTTAACAGAGCGACTGGGAGGGGACAAAATGGAGTTGAGGTTTAGGGGCATCCTAAAGGTCGTTTGGAGGTCTAGCAAGCACTTCATGGTCTCCTCTGGAAAGGGCCGTGGCAAAACCTACTACCCCGATCAGGAAGATGACTTCTAGCCCTCGGGATGCGGTGAGCGGCAGGAAGAGGCAGGCTGGGGTTCCGAGAACCCCAGACTCCATCACAGGAGGTTACTGTAACCTAGGGAATCTTCCCGGCCCCAGCGGAGGCGAGCGGATAGATAGCCCTAGCTCAAGAAAAAAAGCGAGCCGATTCCAGCAGCTGGAATGCCCACCCAACCTCCTCCCGGCTCAGGTGAGGTACGCCAGTCCCCACCCTGGAGATGGGGCCCTGGTACCGACAGGGCAAGGGTGCCGGGGCCGCAGCCTCCCCAGCCAGGGATACTCACCGGAGGGGCGGCCCACCGCGTCTTCGCAGCCGGCTGGCGCCTGGCACTCGGGAAGCTCGCAAAAAGGAACCGCGTGCCCGCTAGCGCTGGGACGAGGAGGAGCGCGCCGTGGAGGCCAGAGAAAAAGCCGCAGCGGCGCGCGCGCACCCGGACAGCCGGCGGAGGCGGGGCTCAGCGCGATCCCGGAAAAGACGCGCCCGGAGGGGCGGGCGGAGCGGGGGCGCGCGGTGGTGTGGCAGAGCCAGCCGAATCGCTGGCTGCAGACGGCTCGGCCCACCCACGCGCCCGCCCCCGCTCGCCCGGGACGTCAGCCGAAAAGGCGGAGCCGAACGGGCTTCCCGGGGAGAGGGAGGGGTGCTGCGGGGAAGGCGAGGCGGCTAACGGCTCGCCTCAAGTTGTTGTTCCCGCTGGCGAGCCGCTTCTGTCAGGCTCGCTGCTGGTGTCGTTGAGTGTGTTTCCGAATGTCCTTGCGCCTAATAGCAGTGAGGCGCAGGGGTGGCCCACGCCCTCACCTGCGGCTTGCTTCGCAGGACTCCACCCCAGGATAAAAGTTCCCCTCGGGTCATCTTCCAGCTGCCCTCAAAAGACACTCGTTTTTGTATTTCACTGCTCCAAGTTTAGAGAGCTATCTTAAACACTCTGACTAAAAACATCTTGCTCCTGTAAGCCTGAGCTGATGCCTCTCATCCATTTATCTTGCCTCTCACTGCGTTAAGATCCCCGCTGACTCCCACTGATGAAATATCACAAGGACGCAGGATTTTCACGTTGTCTTTCCATTTCCACGATGGTTTCATGGCAAAAGAACCCCCAACTGATAAGGAAAAGTCACCGCAGCTCTGTGACATCTTACTAGCCCTGATCATTGCTTATAAGCTGGTCATACGAATGCTGTTACAATAGATGCAAGAAATTGCCATTAAAATTAAAATTCCAGCGAACTATCTGAGGGCTTCAAAAGGGAAAGACCATAATTGCAAATGAGCCCTGATAAACTGCCAAGAATATATCACCCAAAAAATTAAATCTCAAGAATTCTTCCAGTTCCCTGATGTGTAATGGTGAACTAGTTTCCTGTTCCTGATGGCAATCGACATTTCACTTCACCTGCTGATTTCCATTTTCCCATAGAATTACCATTTCTGCTTGTGTGTGTATATGTGTGTATATATGTGTGTGTGTGTATATATATGTATATATAAAATGCCTTACCACCTGAGATTACAGGCTAGAGTAGTTCTTGAACTTCAGTGTGCATCACAATTATCTGGGGTGCTTGTTAAAATGTAGGTACCTGGAGCTACAATCCCCCGGTATTTTTATTCTGATCTGGGTAGGGATAAGAAATTTGAATTTTTAATAAGCAGTCCAGGTGATACTAAAAGTGGTTAGCTGAGAGCACAGAGCTACAGTTTTTGTGTGTTACTACTCTAAAGCCATATTACCATTTCAATTTCCAAGAAACCTACCTACTTACATAAAATATACCTATAAATATTGCTAAGACAGTCGTGTAGCTTCCTTTTTGAAGATTGACCTACCAAGTTCAGTACTTCAAACAACTAGTTTAATTGCATTGTTTATTTTATGAAATCTTGTTTCAATACCAGAAATCAGCAATCATTTTTCAGGTAACTATGATGTACAGAGCACTATCACCTACAGTTGGCTTAACACAAATGAAATTGAAGAAATGAATATCGCTGCTCTCAACAAAGTTAGTGTCTACTTGTGGAATTAAAATATAGACATAATACAAACCCAGTGTAGCACATAAATCAATGTGTTGGATGAAGATGAAAAAGAACTTGTAATTAAAGAGTACTTTTGCCAGTTTCCTTTATTGTCAGTCTCTTAGCCCAGACATTTTCAATTAGGTAATTTCCTCTGAACAGTCTTCAGCTTACTGAAGTTCCTCCAGCTCTACAAGACATAAAGGAAAGAAATCACTATAGCCTGAAACTATCCGTTTTTCGGTATACGAATGTGTGTATGATATACATATAAGTATGTTTATCAGACCAAGAAGCTACTTGGATTTTCAAGATTTCTTATTACTTAAACTATTCGTTAGTGTGTACAGTTCTGGCTGTCTTCATCACCTACCACATCTCACCTTCTTCCCCATTTAACTGCACCCAAGTTGAAGAGGAAAGAAGAACTATATCTCCAAAAAGGAAACCAAGTATAACCACGCTATTTCCAGCTTTCCTTTTTCAGAGTCAAAACAAACCTTGCTTAATTTCTTGTCATCAGAAACCTTCCAGAAATTACTGCCCAGGAGCAAAATATTTCCCAAGCAGCTGTCTGACATTTTAAAGAGAACATTTGCAACGCTGTTTATTAGGAAGATAGGGTATTATTATCCCTATTTCACAGATGAAGAAATAGATGCAGGTTAAGTGTCTTGTCCAGTCACACAACTAACTAGTAACAGAGCCTGAATTTCCTACTACACTGCTTATGACTCCTAGACCAGGGTGCTTGCCGCTACATCAAGCTGCCTCTGTAATGAGTCCTACCCAGAACTACCAAACCAATTGGAAATGGAGTAGATAAACGTATGGAAATGGAAGAGTTAGGGAAATGTACAATGCAATTGACAGATTCAAAATACAATGTAGTAAGTACTAAAAGCATGAGAATTAGTCTGTTAGAAGCTAAACAGAATTTAAAGGACAGCTCTGTTAAGAGGCACTGATATTTAGGCCTTGCCTGTTTTATTATTCTGTAACAAGAAGCTGAAACAGATAGCCAGGCTGCTCTTGGCATTAGTTATTTATGGAAGGGCAAAAAACAACTGTTCTTCATTGACTGTGTAACAAGCCTTTGCGTGTTAAACTTCACGGGTTTGTAGAATAATAATAATTTTCTCTTGCGGTCCAAATACAAGCAGCAGGACTTCATAATAATATTTGCATTGACAAGTTGTGTTAGATTTTGTCATTAACAAACCTTATTTTTGGCAGACCCAACAACCAGGCCAAATATTGTCTTTAGTGGCTTGTGTTAAACAACCAGTGAAATCAGAAACCTAGGCAGAAGATGATCTCACTGTGAACATAAATAATAACCTAAGCCACTCCTTTAAAAAATGATCAAAGGCATAGTAGCTACATCTAAATGTTATTTTTGAGAAACGATTTGTTTTTTCAAAATAACTATTTCTTTTCATTCTGGCACATTTTTCAGGTTTTTAAATTAATGGAAACACCAAAACAAACAGACATCTAATGCACCCAGATAGGAAGACACAGTATTGTATGGAGTCAAGTCTTTGGAAATTAATCCATCAGGACATTGTGGTCCACGTCAAAATCACAGCAGGATTTTAATGGAACTTAATTTCAGTTTCTCTCATGAAACTCCTTATTTGTCCTTTTTAAAGATAACTCCAACCCCCCCTAAATAAAATCCTCCACAGTTATCCTTGAAATTGTTTGTGCAACCTTCCTATAAAGGATCAAAAATAACAAAATATTTTTATTATCCATAAGGCCATAAGTATGCGAAAAATCTGCTGTGGTTGTCGTTGAATCTGTAAGAACGTTGCTTTTCGTATATTTTTGCCCACTCTCTGTAGTGATTCTAGCCCAGTAATATTATGAAAAAAGATAGGTCATCGATATCATAACTTGCCTTAAATGTCTCTTTGTTATCCTTTCCCTTTAAGATACAAAAAGCTTCCAATATGTCCTATTTTTAAAAAGACCAGTAAAATAACAAAATTTTAATGTGTCCCTTACTCAAAATCTTCCACTGTTAGTGCTGGGAAGCTACTTAGATGCAGAGTAGCAGGATGGAAACCATATGGGTTTGGACTTAAGCCAACCACTCTAGACCAAGTTATATAACATTTTCCTGAGCCTCAGCCTCTTCTGTAAATTGGGGATAATAATGGTACCTCATTCATAAGACTCTTCTGAGGGAATGAAATCATGCCTATAAAATTCCTGATTTATGGCAAGGGTGTATAAAATGATGGCTATTAATCACCAAGTTCAACCTCTTCATTTCACAGATGAGAAAAAGGAAGCTAGAACCAGAAAAATCTTTCTCCAGATTCTCCTACTTATTCAGTGACTTTCTTTACAGCTAAGGACAAATTCCTTGAGAAGTGGTCTACAGCCACTTCATTCACTAAATCACTATCTGACCTCCAAGTTAATCTCCATTCCCATCAATCCTACAAATATATATATATATATATATATATACTTTTTTTTTTTTTTTTTTTTTTTGAGAGGGAGTCTCCCTCTGTTCCCCAGGCTGGAGTGCAGTGGCACGATCTCAGCTCACTGCAAGCTCCGCCCCCCGGGATCATGCCATTCTCCTGCCTCAGCCTCCTGAGTAGCTGGGACTACAGGCGCCCGCCACCGCGCCCGGCTGATTTTTTTTGTATTTTTAGTGGAGACGAGGTTTCACCGTGGTCTCGATCTCCTGACCTTGTGATCCGCCCGCCTCGGCCTCCCAAAGTGCTGGGATTACAGGCGTGAGCCACCGCACCCAGCCAATCCTACAAATATTCCTATTGCTAATGCCTTCTATGAAATAGACAAACCCCATCATTATACTTAAATAATTATGGGACTATTTCACTCCGAGTGAATAGTCCCACTGGGACTATTGGACTGATTAAACCTTTGGATATTTATTCAAAGCATCCCTCTTCAAACCAAAATTCTGTAATAAAACTGTCTGCTTCACTTGGATCCTACATGGCACATGGTACAAGCCAAGTTACTGTTATTCAAATAAAACATTTTTTAACAATATGTTTGAATGAATAATTATTACTTTTAGAAATAGATATAAAAGGTTATTAAATATATTTTATTTTCCCCTTCAAGTTGGTAAGATTTTTAGATTGATAATATTCAATTTTGGCAAGAATATGAAGAAACTTGCACTCATATATTCTTTTTTTTTTTCTTCAAGATGGAGTCTCACCCTGTCACCCAGGCTGAAGTGCAGTGGCGCCATCTCGGCTCACTGTAAGCTCCGCCTCCCAGGTTCACGCCATTCTGCTGCCTCAGCCTGCCCAGTAGCCGGGACTACAGGTGCCCACCACCACGCCCGGCTAATTTTTTGTATTTTTAGTAGAAACAGGGTTTCACAATGTCAGCCAGGATGGTCTCAATCTCCCAACCTCGTGATCCGCCTGCCTGGGCCTCCCAAAGTGCTGGGATTACAGGCGTGAGCCACCACGCCCGGCCTGCACTCATATATTCTAAGTAGGAGTGTAAATAGTTTTGGTCCCTTTATTTTATTTTATTTATTTTTGAGACAGAGTCTTGCACTCTCGCCCAGGCTGGAGTGCAGTGGCACGACCTCAGCTCACTGCAACCTCTGCCTCCCGGGTTCAAGAGATTCTCATGCCTCAGCCTCCTGAGTAGCTGGAATTACAATAGGTGCCCGCCACCACACCCAGCTAACTTTTGTATTTTTAGTAGAGATGGGGTTTCACCACGCTGGCCAGGCTGCTGTCGAACTCGGAACTCAGGTGATCCACCTGCCTTGGCCTCCCAAAGTGCTGAGATGACAGGCGTGAACCACTGCACCCAGCCTGGCCTTTTTAAAAGACAATGTGGCAGTATCTTTTAAAATTTAAAATGCATATACTCTTTGACATTTTCATGTACAGGGCTCTATTATACAGAGAAACTTGAACA